CTCCAAGATCAGCGCTGTACTTTAAAATTATTCTTTGCCTTTATATTTTTATGTTCTGTTTCTGAATCTTTTCAAGGATTTTAAAGTCTAGTCTGCTCTAAATGTAGAATCTACCCATTTTCTGAATCTGGGCCCATCTCCTATTTTCCTTTCTTTTGGGTAGTAATAGTAATAGTAATACTACTAATTAGTGACAGCTCCCTGAGAAACTTCCAGATCACCTTCTCCAATATTAAAATTTCCCCCTAAATATGAGAACATCATGCATGAGTTCTAGGCCTAAGTTTTGTAAAAGTCCCGATTAGCACTTTTAACTAGTTACAAGATATTTTAATCATTCACACATTCATTATCATTTTGGACCTACTACCAGGCAGGTAGGACTTATTCAGGTCTAGCCAATGGAACTTGACTCCTAGTGAGAGAAGAAATGCTAAGCAAACCAAAAATGTGTCAGGGGGTGATACATAGATAGTGGTTAAATTAGAATGGATGATCATGAAGTCTCTATACATTGGCCATCAGAGATATAAAGGGATTTGGCGTGCTACTTACATTTGCTTTCAGGGGTAAAGTGTTCATCACCGAAGGAACAGATTTGAAATACAGGGGCCAGTGGGGACAAATATATCTGGGGTGCTGACCAAGAGGCATTCTCTCTCCCTAATCCCCCCCCCTCTCCTTCTTCCTCCCCTCTCCCTTTCTGTTTCATTTTACTATTTTTTGTTATAGAGAGATAACATTGATGATCCCAGCAGTCAGGAATAGTGATAGTTAATTCTTGAAAGTTAACCCCCCACACACACAATCTCTCAAGTGTTAGCACTTGTTACAAAAATTCATAAATACAAAGTGCATATGGTCCAAGAACTTTATGTGCTGAAACCACACAGGGCTATGTGAGGCATGGTATACAACACGATCTTGACTTTTTTTTATGAGTTGTGGGAATCAGTAAAGATTTTTGAGAAGTATTAAAGATCAACTTAATAAAATAAAACCCACATTGGCTGCTTTGTGTAGAAACAAATCTATCCACACAAGTGTGGATACAGCCAGAACTGTTAAGAGTATGATGTAAAATATAATGGTGCAGGAAATGATGAGAGCTTATATATAGAAAATGAAAGCTTTAGGAAGTTGTATTGAAAGAATTTGCCAATGTTCTGAACTATAATATGGAAAGAAAGAGCAGAGTCATGTATGGATAGATCATAGAAAGCAGTAGAATGGACTTGTACTTTTAGGAAGAAAATGATGAGAATATACAAGTTTTGGAGGGCAAGGGAATCAAGAATTTGGCTTTAAATGGATCAATTGTGAGATGTCTGATATATATCTGAATAAAAGTGTCAAGTATTTGGTATGCAATCCCAGATTTCAAAGGGGAGAATCATTACATTATATAAATATGCGTTTGCAATCAAGCAAAACTCATTTGGTTTGGTGAGATCATCAGAAAACAAATGCAGATACATATGAGAATCTAGATGCAAGGATAATACACCAGCATGCTCCAAGGTTCAAAAGTCAGGAGGGTAAGAGGGAGTTAGAAAGGGTGGCTGAGATTTGTAACAGTGAGTGATCTGAGACACTGCTAGTGTTGAAAAAGAAGAGGCTGGAAAATGAATTCATAAACGTAGAACCCACATGACTTTGACAAAGAAATAAAGTTTGTGTGAAGCTGAACATGGGAATGATCAGATGAGAGCACAGTAATAAGTGGAAGTAGAGAGAAGTAAATTTTGTAAGAAATGTCATCAAGGGGATGGATGCAGGGTGGTGCTTTGATATTTTCTAGTATTCTCATCTAAGGGTAGTGTTATTTGTTAAAGAAAACAATGACATTTTACATTCTCAGGGGAATCAACCAATGAAGAGGGGCAATCTATGAAACTGAGGGTTACTGTAGGTGTCCCCTATCCTTGGGTTCTGTGGACCTGTTGGGGTTGCTTGCTTCAACCATTGTAGCGTAAGGGCATGATTCATTCAATGCAGGAACG